ATAGCTATAGTATAGGAAATTAATGATGTAATTTTGATGTAAATGATTTAAAAGTCAAATGTAATATATATAAAGGAATAGTAATAAAAAATTAATTATCTTTCACTTTCAACAAAATACTAAGAACCCTTACCCGTGTTGAGATGGCTTTACTGAAGGTAGGGTCATAATATTTATTACTATAAATAGCCAAGATCTCTCTAAATAGTAGACCCATTATGTACTATACCCAGGTAAGGATAAAGTTTTGGTAAAAGTAAAAGACCTAGGGTATACAAATAAAACTAAGAAAATAGATTAGACCTTCCAATTATCAGACCTATACCCAGACAAGAGACCTGTGGGTCTAATTATAGATTTTAAAATTAGTGAAATGTAACAAACCCGGGTCCTGTATCTGGACATTTATATAGTTTTCATTTTTATTTTCTTTGCAAAACTATATAAATAATCAAGAAAATGAAAAACATATCTATCTGGCTGTTTTACAACCTGTCAAATTTACATAAAATCAAAGTTCAAATATTGGATATTCAATTTGATAAACTGTGATGCTAATGAAGATTTTACAATATGCTAGTACCCAACGAAACCTAGCGTGGCAATAAAACCTCTTCAAATAAAATCAAGAAAAGGAGTTCTTATCAGAAAAATAATGTTCTTGGGTTTAATAGGATAATATGTAAAAATCATTAATTCATTTATACTAGATATTTTCTGTATTTTCAAAATTTCAATACTAATTTAGCATTCTCTTCATCAAAATGTTTCTGTTTATTCATTAAAGTAGCTTAATAATGTAAAGGTTAACACAAATGACATAATTAATCTAAAAAATAATTTTTTTTTTTTAATTTGTAATAATTTAAAAATGATAGATTAAAATATAACGTGCTTATTTACTATTTCAAGCTATAAACACCAATTTTTAAAAAATTTGATACTTTATTATAATAAATTATATATATAAATTAATCTTCCTCTAATGCTACACTTTTTTAGGATCTTTTTGACGAGCGTTTTGTTTTAGTGCGTGAATAGTTGAATGCGATAATATTGACATATCTGAGAATTCTGTTATAGTTGATTCCGTATCAAAATAAACTTCAGAAATATACAATATTTTACGCACAGTGCATGCGATTGCTGTTCTAAAAGAAAGTAGATTATAGATTAGAGAATAAACTTGCTCTGAATCCATTGTTAGAATATGTAAAGGAATTTTCACTTAATCAAGCAATAAAACTTTATATAAACCTGATTCTTTGCACATAGAGCAAAATTTCATAGTATCTTTAACAACATTAATTGTAAATATTGTCAAGTACTCTATTGATAACTTTTCAGTTTTTCTCTTATATTTTGATTCTTTAATAAAATCAATAGAATCCTTGCCAAACCTATTCAATTTTTTGTAGTCCCGTCTTTGTTTGTCAAGAGATGATTT